GGGGAAGCAAAGGCAGCACAGGCACTGAAACATGCCAGTTGTACACACTAGAGCACTGCAGCGGCAGCAGCAGCTGATCCCTGTGCTTTCAAGTCCGGTGGCATAGCCCACAACAGCGCTGAAGCAGCGCTGCCGCCGCACCCCCTAACATCGCTGCCATGGGACGCACGCTGCACACCTCAGCTACTATACGCACACAGAAACTGTTGCCAGGCTATGGACAGCGTCTCCCCTCCACCCCTGGAAGCTGCAGGACAAAAACAGCAGAAAGCAGCAAGCAGATTTCGGGCTGTGGCCAAGGAAACGGCCCCTCGAGACAAACTAGCAGCGCTGGCATTAAGCAATTACTCCACATAGCTATTCCTAGACAGAGGAGTCTCTAAGCTGCACCAACGCTACGAGAAACAGTACAAATTGCTTGCCCTTACATGTCACCTCATGTTTTCTTCAGATACACACCCTTTCAAATACCTCTGCAGCAACTGAAATCCTCCCCTAGTAAGCAAAGATTGCACGCTGCCAAAGGCCCTGCTACAGAAGTGAAAGAAACACCAAGCTTACATTTTTGGTCGTCTTGCTTTACAACCAGTCTCAGCCATGTAATGTCTGATGTCACTGGAGTACCAGTATGTGGAAGTACTATGGGAATTGTAGTCTTTCCTCTATTGTGCAATAGCTACAAGGTACGGGATCCAGGACTGCAAGCCTTAGGAACAGCCTCCTTCACGCAGAGGCTTACGGGGACTGCCTGAGAAATCCAGCTGAACCGCTTTATTTAGCCAGAAAACACTGCTCGGGTGGGAAAGAAGAAAAGTATGCGGGAGGTTTTGAAACGCACCTTCTCCTCCTTCCCATGCAAGAAGTAATTTCTAAGCAATTACTCTCTTCCAACACCGTTTAAGGTGTAATCAGGAAACACAACCCAGTAAGGAAATTTTAATTGCTATGGGGTATAACAACATCGTCGTAAGAACTCTTGTACTATTAAATACAAGTTCATCGTCTCTTGTACCTCTGGGGTTTTGGTCTCTCCACAAGAAAAAATAATTCACTGGAATGGACGTTTTTTGTCAGTGGTGGGGATGCCCCTGCCACTTTCGTTCCTGTTTCCCCACTGAAAGGCATCATTTGGCTCACCCCTGCTAAGTAACTGTGAAAGGCTTGCAGTGTGAGCAAATCAAGCCCTATGCCTCCTGTAACACGAATTAAAAATAAAGGTTTTTTTAGTTAAAGGCTTTCTTCCATGCTAAAGTGCTGTACCTGACTTACCTTCTCCCCACTTTCAGTCAAATATCTCGTTAACAGTTACATTTTATCACCTTTTACACATTTTTCCTTAATAAAGTCATTATTTTCCCACAACTCTTTGCCTTAACTCAGACAGATGATGAACCCTGATTCTTTCCTCACATCACTGTATTTTTAATGCTAGAAAAAGAATGAAGAAATATAATTTAAGTAAATTAAGAAATCCAGAGACAATGGAACAGAGCCATTTTCATCTTTTTGAAGAAAACAAGAAAAAAAACAGGTATAATATAGTTCAGTTGCTGGGAAGCGTAGTCCATCATCAGTCAAGTATTATTACGGAGTCTCAAGACTAGAAAAAAAAAGAGAAAGCAGAGTGCTAACAAGTTCCGACTAAATTTTTCCAAAAAGCTCAAGGTATCCTTCAGCAGACGCTTAAGTCAGCTGAGTTGAATCTAAAAATATATGTTGGTCACCCCGAACAATAAAACTGCCCCAAAATCCATCTTACAGAATATGAGAAAACTCCTACGACACCAGAAGTGTTATGGTAGAAATGGGAAAACCATTCAGTCTTAGGTTCTTCCACAGCTTAACGCAGGCAGACTACAAACAAAAGATCTAAAAAGCGAGGGGAAAAAACCCAACAACTTTCTCCAAAGTTTTCTTCTGTTCCCAAGGCATTTTCACTAAGTTATAGTAACAGCGCCTTGTTCTGCAAAGTCCTTCCCTCACCACTATCGCTGCGGCACTTACCACGGAAAGCACTGCTAGAATACACTGCAGAGTGCCACGCAGCACGTAACCTTCCCCAAATATTACTTAAGTGTATTCCATATAGCTTTTCTGACACAGCAGTAAATAGGAAATGAGGTCACACCTCCCTAAAAACCTCAGCCCTTGTTTACACTATTGCTATCCTCCCTCCCGTTTCTCTCCACAAAGCTGTAATGGCATTCGGAGATGGCGACTGTCTTCCTCCAGCTTCTCCAACTGTCTGATGTAAGCACAGTTTAAGAATGACAACATATATAAACATGACACAGGAAGCTTTTATACCCATTTCCACATTCAGGTTTTTGGAATGGCGTACTTGCACCAGTGCTGCCGATAGTACACACTGAATTTGAGTGTTTCAGGAAAAAAAAACACCATCAAAAATTTCAAGCCATGCTCTGACCAGGGATTAAAGAAAACGGGGGAAGCCCAAACATTTCCAGCGTTATGGCAGCACGGCACTAAGGTACATGCAATAATTTTAGTGATATGAGTAGACCCCAACAGCTTCGAATGAAGTCCGACAGCAGAATTTCACACTCGTTTGGCCTGGGCAAGACAGAGGGAAAGAGAGGAAATCCAGACAGGAATCCACGAAAACAGTTTAGGCATAAATTATTTCCTGAGAAATAATGAGAACAGCGTGTTACAGGAAAAACAAGGGCAGCCTTTTCTGAAGGGCTCAGAGTCTGTGTAAAAGCAAAATACCACACAGGCAGACAGTTGAGAGAATAGTTTGAAGTCAAAATATAGGACATCTCATTGCTACCCTCCAGCAGAATCTGGTCCCGACAACGTTCTTATAAAGTAGCTAGAAGTAGTAGTAGCTACACCCTCCTCTCAAAGTAACATGAAAAAAAGCCCCCAGTGCCTGTGCAGGTGTGTGTAAAGAGAGCGTGGCTTCAGCAGCAACGGCTGTGAACAAGGGGACGAAAGCTGCCAAATTCCCTTGTCCTGGAAAACAGGACCACCGCAGGCTGTGAGGAATACGCTGTATTTGCGACTCTCACCTATGCAGCGTTCGGATACCTCCTCAAGATTTCAAAGGTTTCAGCAACGTGTTAACAGCGGGCAAACATACTCAAAACGTTAATAAAGCGAGAAATATCTTTAAGGACTCTTTAAACTTGCTAACTTAAAGTAACTCAGTGTGAAGATGCTCACACACAACCTCCTAGCGTCAACCTGGCTGCAGCAGTGCGAATTCATTCGAGTGACGATACCTTTAAAATAGCAGATTGCAGTGATTTTAGTAACAGTACAATATCTGTTTATACAGTAGACTTAAGTATTAGCAGTCATTCTTCTGGGCCCCTCACCACACCAAGACAACTTTTTTGGCTTTTTACTATGACAGGAAATGTAAAAACCGTAACAATGAAATCAAAACACTGCTTCCAGGGAGGGGGAAAAAAAAAATCAGGAGGGAAAAAAAAAAAAGCAGCAAAAAAGAAGAAACCTCGTTTTTCCTGAAACCAAGCATTTGAATGTATTCCCCTCCACAGCCTCTGAAAGTGACTCCTGTCTCACCCTATTGGGATTTCAGGCTGTAACACTTGCTTACTTCACAGCTCTCTTCTGCTCTACGTGCAGAAACATCACTCATTTTTGGTGTGTCAACACCGCTCACGGCTCTTGTAACTTCCGAGCGCGCACAGATCTCTGGCAGGGTGCATATGACAGGCAAGTGGAAGACAGCCATGCATTTTCGCAGATATGTCCTTTATTTACATGGCTCTGCTCTACCAGCAGCCGCAGGGGTTCCCCTCTCTCCCCGCACACCCCGCTGCAGCTCCGGCACCGCTCCTCACAGGGCAGATTCCCCCCCTCACAGGGCGAAGCGCCTCGCAACCTCCCTCTCCCTC